GCATGTGGATGTAGACTGTATAAGAAAGGTAGCTAATTGTGAGCCTGAGAGCAAGCCAGGAAACAACTCTTCTTCATGAGAAACAGATATCAGAGTACCATGAGCTAATATACGTGACTTGTTATATCCCAAGGCAAATGCCTTCTCTCCTTGACTGGAATCTGTCAATTTTTCGAAAATACAGTAGGTGTTGAGAACACTGAGTTTCCTGTATGTATGATTTTCTGAAAAAATGAACTCAGTATAACAGACCAGTTTCATTATATTATTGATTTCATTATTATTATTTCCTTTGTGTCATTGAAAGAATGTGATCTGGATTTGTTGTTTGTTTTTTTTAAAGCACCTGCTTTTTATTCATTCTTTTATTTTTATTTTTGTTGGTGTTTTGCCTGTGTGTGTGTCTATGTGAGGGTGCTGGATCCTGGGGTTACAGACAGTTATGAGCTGCTCTTGTGGGTGCTGGGACTTGAACCCAGGTCCTCTGGAAGAGCAGTTGGTTCTCTTAACCCCTGAACCATCTCTCCAGTCCCATTTTTTTTCCATTGGTAAAATGGAGTTCAGTAATAAAGCATAATCTGAACATCTTTCTCTTGGTATTTTGGAGGCAGTTTCCTTGTTTTCATCAGTGCTCTGAAGATCTTATGTGGATAGCAATATTTTCTGACATCAGTATTCTTTTGAAGATTAAATTATTATGATAGTTTTCAAATGAAGATCATAAATGTCAATTCATTTTAGTCTTAAACTAAGCTGCATTGATGATTTTTTTTTTGTATCTAAGGTCTTTGTGCTATAGGTATATGAGATCTAAACCACTTCAGGTGAGAACACACCAGAGGACTTTCTTTGTTTCTCACCCCTCTCTCAACTCCCAGGGCTAATAGGTTGGCTTAGGGTTTCTATTGCTGGAAGAGACAATGATTATGGCAACTCTTATGAAGGAAAACTCATTGGGCTGGCTTACAGTTTCAGAGGTTTAGTCCGTTATCATTATAGTAGAGAGCATGGCAGTATACAGATTGACATGGTGCTGGAGAAGGGGCCGAGAGTTCCACAGATGACAGGAAAATGAACTGTCACACTTGGCATGGCTTGAGCATATAAGACCCCAAAGCCCACCTCTGCAGTGACACACCTCCTCCAACAAGGCCACACCTCCTAAAGTGTCACTCCCTATGAGCAAGCATCCAAGCACATAAGTCTGTGGGGACTATTCCTATTCAAACCACCACATGGCCGTGCTTCTAATCTCAGCTATTTAGGAGATCCAGGCAGGAAGATTGCAAGTTCAAGGTGTTCGTGGGCTTCACAGTGAGTGCAAGGCCAACGTGGCCAACTCAGTGAGACATTGTTTCAAAATAAGAAGCAAAAGGAAGGCTTGGATGTATCTCAGTGGGAAAGCACTGGCTTGCATACATAGAGCCTGGGGTTCACCTCAGGAGTAAAACTGCTTCCCACTTCTCTTTTCACTTTAGAGAAGACCCTTAATTCATTTTATATACGTGTATGGGTGTATGTGTGCATATGCATGAATATAATTTGATCAGCTGGTACAGTAACACAGTTTTCTTGTACATAATTTGGTTTTATTACCCCATAGCCAACCCTCCTACACTTTCTTCCCCTGTGTTGGCTTATGGCCTTGCTCGCCTTTTTATTTTATTTTTTAGTAAGAAGTTCCAGAGTGCTTTTACTTATAAAATCATTCCCATTCAGAGTGCCACCATATTTTCATGTACTTTCTTTCCTCCAGTTTCACTAGAATAAGGACGAAAGAATCAGGTACTAGAAATTAGCAACCCGAAAACAGTCATGGAATTTTATTGCTAGAAGCAAGCGTTTAGTAATGCTTTACTGAGGAAGCAGGGGTGGAGCTAGATATAGTCAGGAAGAGAAGGCAGATGCATTGTTATGCTCAAAACAATATATCACTTAATACTTGGTGGTAGAAGACAATTTCTTAGCATTCTGTATGATACATTTGTGGCTCAGCAAGAACACTTGTAGCGGTCTTTTCCCCCTTTAATGAATTTCCTCTTTATTGACGTGAGGCATAGAAAAATAGAAGAACCAGTTGCAGGTCACATGTCAAGATCTGATGATGGAATCAGGGTGAGCCCTCCTAAGTCTTAACATGAATCAGATTCTTGGCACTGCCTTTTATAATTTATTAGCCTTAAAGCAGAGTGCTTTGCTCATGAAGCTTCGGAGAAACAAGAACAATAAAACACACAATTAATTAAAATCCTTAGAACTAGTGGCAGCAGCATTAATAAAACATTATCCTCCAAAGCACACAGGAATTGCAGTCTCAGTGGGGGGAAGCCGGGTTAAAAGTCTTTCATCATAGTCAGTAAACTGAGTTTATTGAACTTGGGTTGGTAGAGTTCAAAATGGAAGTAGACATTGAAGCAGTACCTGGCTCCTCTCTGTACAAAACATCTCGGTTATTAATAGCAGTTGCTCATTTATACTCTGTGCTTAATTTCACACATATGTTCTTGCGCAGTCCTCAGAAGAACTGTACAGGTGTTAGGGTTTTCAGTGTGTGGCTGAGAAAACAGATCACTTGATGAAATGCTTCACAACGTGAGCCCCATCCTTCAGCCTCAGCAGGAACTTGTTAGGCAAATTCATGCCCACCCCCACCTTCCCTGAATCAGACTTTTAGGAGTGGAGCCCTGCTGTGTTTTAAGAACAAGTCTCACATGTTCCCTCCTCATGCTGAAGTTTGAGAACCATTGGATTATATAACCATGTGTGATAATGCTCTGTTAGTGGAAACAGGATTTCAGATGGTATATTGAACTTTACGACTTACTGGGAAGGAACATCTCTGTAGTTGCCTGCTGGGCAGTGGTTTTCTTACAAAGTCCTGGGTCTGCTATAGGTTTATTTCTCTCTCCCCATCTGCAGGCTCTGTCTTGCCAGTAACTGCTCTTTTTCATGTGTGTGTGTAAAAAGAAGCCATTTAACCAGGAGGAACATTTAAAAAATCTTTTCTTTGGAGAGCCACCTGGGTCTGATCCCTTTCTGCTGTAAATCTCATTCCTAAAGTTTTCTTGGGGCTGTAATATGACTGGTTTGGTCATATCTTGTCACAGCCCCTGTGTATTCATAGAAAGTCTGGTGTTAGATACTTAAATGCAAAACCATTTCTCATTGGCTGATCAATAGAATGCACCCATTTTATCTGATGCTCACACAGTTCATTCTGGAATGTTGGTGCTGTGTACCACATTGACAGACAAGCCAGGTACAGGCACTGCTGGGGCATCCTGATTTAGTGTTTACTAGTTGCAAGATCTGTGTATGTTTTCAGACTCCTGAGTTGTTTCTTCAAGTGAAAACAGGTGATAGCATCCTATGTTTTAAACTCGGTTCTTTGAGAATACTTTGGAAAACACTGAGTGCTACACAAATGCGCTGTTGAATTCTGGAATGTTTTGAAGAACAACTTCTGAGCTTAGGTGTCATGACACGTTTGGTGATGAACTTGGTTGTCTTCATGAGCTAGGGAGTGAGTGGGTTTATCAGGAATATCTGCACAGAATGGAGAGATCACTGAGTGTTTTGCAGAGGACCTCAGACTCTGCACTAACCCAGTCCTGACTGTTAACTTTCTGACTGATCCTTTCTCAGATCCAGCCATAAAATGGGTGTCAGAATACATCCATGTAGAAGTCATAAGGAAAGAGGCACGTTAAGGACAAAAATGTGGAATCAGTGGTTATCTGTGTAAGCCTAGCTGAGAGCTAGGGTGTAGTCACCAGGGAAGGTTGTGTAGGAGGAAGTGATGGGACTGAAAAGCATGGGGTATAGAATAAGAGTACCTCAGCCTAGTAGTGTACCCGAGTCTCTAAGAAGCCTCATTTTCTAGACCTTGAGCCATATCTTAACCTTCCTTATAGAAGAGCAAGAAGTTACATAGTTCATTTATCTCTGTAGCATGATTACAATATCACCTGACCACAGGCCAAGATAACTATGTATGGGTGATGGTTCAGGCTTTTTGAAAGCATATCTGTGTGTGTATGTGTGAATGAGGAAGCGTTGACAATATGAAGAGTGTAGTCACTAGAAAGGGGCAATTGTTACTTGACTGTGAATTCTTGTGTATGACAATGTAAATCTGAGAATGCCCAGACATCTGACTTAAAGAGAAGACAGAGTTCTCAAATTTTAGTAATAGTCCCAGGTTTTCTAATGTTGGCTAAATGGAAGGTGAAGCTTTTCAATCATGGCCCTAACACATCTGTAGGCCAGATTTGGGCATAGACTGCCAGCTTGTGGTCTCTGCTGTAGAGTGTTCTGTAAACAAGACCTGTTATTATTGGACGACCTGGAATTTATAATAGCCTCCCAGGAGCCACTATGTCAGGGATTCTCCAAGGAATACATCTGTGTTTTCTTATTACCCTCAAAACCAGCCCCCTATCCCAAGGCCAGGCCTGTTTTGACATAGACTCCAGGGACTTTTAAATTTGTGCTGCATAATTTGGAGGGATTCTAAGTCCAGATGTTTAGGCAGACAAGACAGGCAACTACATTTCTTTTGAGGGGGAGATCTGCAGAAATGGCATTACACGATTTTCTCTATCGAGGAGGTCAAGCATCAGTCTGAATACTAAGGCACTGGATAGAAATGGTCCATGTCTATTCTTACTGTTCTCTTTTGTATGTCTATATATGTGTGTACATTTACGGGTAAGAGTGTGAGTGTACCTGTATAATACATTGCATATGGTGACCAGAGGACAATCTTGGGTATCATTCTTCACGTATTACAATCCTTCCCATTGTAAAGATGTGGTCTTTTCTTGACCTAAAGTTTGTCAAGGCTAGACTGGCTGGCCAGGGGGCTCCTAGGAACTTCTGGCTTCCTCTATCCAGTATTGAGATGGACATCATGTATCGGCCATGTTTGGCTTCAAGAATATGTCTCGCTTTTTCAGGGATGGTTTTGAATTGATTCCATTTTTCAATTTACATTACAGAAAAAAGAGTTTGATGTGGATAACCTCAGCAAATCGGAACTTCGCATGCTCCTCAGTGTGATGGAAGGAGAACTAGAAGCCAGAGACTTGGTCATTGAGGCCCTGCGGGTAAGAACTTTCTGGAGGTGTGTCCTTACCATTTCTCGGAAGGCCAGTGGCAGAGGCACTGTTCCTTAGTTTTTCAATCAGTTGCATTTAAAATGTTACCTTAGGCTGTTGTGTGTTCCTCATTCAGAACCTAGAATCTACACGAGACACATAAGTCATGTGGGTGTTGAGTGGATAGAGACTGAAAATAAACCACTGAAAATGGGAGACTGAAAATCAGTAGTCCCTTGCATGTATCACCTATCTGGTTGACCTCAGACATACAGTCTTAGAAAATTAGTGCTTTGATGTCTTGCATGTGTACGATAGCTGTGGGAGGGAATTAAGAGAACCATTCATAAAAATGTTGGTGACAATATATCTTTTCACTTCCTATATAGGTCATGAATGGTGTTCTTCATTTTCAGAAAGTCGGTTAAAATGAAAATGTTCATATCTTCAAATTATTTTCATCAGTAGCTTAAACATTTTTCTATAGTAGCTTACAAAGAACATATCAGATGCCTCGGTTACAGTGCTGTTCAACTGTATTGATTCAGTTTTTTTTTCTGATTGGAAATTCCACATCTTGATTTGGTGTATCAGTCAGCCGTTAAGCTTCAGTTTGGTTTTGTTTTCTCCCCTCTTTTGTAGTCATTTGTATGAAATCAGGTATATCTTGGTTCTCAGTTATTTGGAAATGATGACTGCAATTATTACATATAAAGTTTTATTTCCTTGAACTTTGAAAATCTATGAAGATGTAAAAATTCAGCCGATTGTTGCCCGTGACAAGAGCTTTCACGGTGATGAAGGGAGGTAGGAGTGGTCACATAGGATGTACAGGGGTGCATCCAGCTGTGCAGGGATGAGACCTTGGTCCTGAGTGGGAGTGGAAACAGTTCCTGAACTCCACATCCTGGAAATTGGTGCAGTCAGTGTACTATTTACCATCCGTCCAGTGACCTAGAACAATTCCCTCATAAGCTGGGAGTCTGGTGTGTCATCTGCATTGAAGTGGAGCCACAGCTCTTTGGATACGAAGCTTTGCTAACCAGCTGTCCACATAGTTTGGTTGTGAGGGTGGTTTGTCCTGTTCCCCATTGAGAATATAGTGCAACCATGTGAGCCACTGTTCCAGAATGCAGTCACCTCTTAAAACCAAATGGAAATTCAGGGCTCCAGCTGGCCTTCTGTTTTTCTGTTCTGTATTAGCATGCAAAATGTGTCCATCCTGTGCAACCTCCCACTGCTCACATACATGTTTGAACACTTAGCGGATTCTTTGTTTATATGTTTTAGAAAGCATATTCATTTTCTTTAATTGAATTTCCCTAATGATCAAATGGATATCTTCTATAAGGATTGGAGTTTCAATTATGAGGAAACTTACTCAGCACAGTCACTGGTTTAAACTTTAATCAAATCCTTTTTCTCATGCTCATAAAGCATTTCTGCTGTGCTTGGCTAACCTGCCAGGGACATTATGTATAGTTGGGTTTTTAAGTATACTATATTAAAGTTAAAAAAGTAAAAATGTCAACCAGTTATGGCATATATTTCCTAATATAGAATAGAAAAGTAAGTTACAGTAAGTGGAGAAGACGGTTGAGGAATTAGTGCATGGGAGACTGTAATCAGAATATATTGAATGAAAAAAATCTATTTTCAGTAAAAGAAAAATAGAGAAAATACGAATTTCCATTTATGTATATTTACTGGAAGATATGATGAACGTGATGTCTGATTGCCCTTATTCATAGCATTGTCTTAAATGCAGTTGCAAGAGAATCCTGTCCCAAGCCTACCATAGTGTGACTCAGATACAGTGAGGTGACTTTACTGAAAGGTGAATCACTTCTGGTAAAGTTCCAAACAAAAGCACATGCTTAGCCAGGTCTGGCGGTGTGTGCCTGTGAGGGATATCAGCCCTGGCGTGTGCCTGTGATGGATATCAGTCCTGGAGAGGCAGGGGTAATGAGATCACCCTAAGTTCAAAGCAAGTGTGGTCTACATAGGGAGACTCAGTGTCAAACAAAACAAACAGGAATGAATGAATGAAGAAAGAGGGAAAGTATGTTCACGTGGGAAATCAATCCCTAGAAAATTCAGTTCATTAGAATAATTTAAATAAGTTGTTTATTGATAAAAAAGGAACTCCTCTCTTTCCTCATAATGGTCATACTGAAACTTCTAATGAGAGGAATAAACTGAGGGGCATTTAAAAGCTTGGCGAGGACTTGAAAAATATTCCTGGAGGTTGATTTCTGAGTCCATGGCCAGTCTAGAGTGAGTTCAACACAGCCAGAGCTACAAAGAGAAACCCTGTCTTGAAAAACCAAAACAGAAAAGAAGTAAATAAAAGTTTCTAGATGCGTGGCAAACTCGCCTCCCTGCCCTCTAAGGCCAATTAGCAAGAAAACAAAAATGTTCTGTCCTGCTTCAACATAGCCTGTGGAGAAGAGCTGACTGAGACCAGTCTCCTGTGTTTAGAGGGTGAAATCAAACAAGGGAAGCCGAGAGAAGACGGTCCAGCCAGGACCACACATGGGCTCACACAGGAGCCCCCCACTTCTTTTGTTACACAGACCCTCTGTGGAATTCAGTGTGTGTGAGATCTTCCTAAAAGCTTTTTAAAAAATGATGTTTATGATTTATTTAAATATTTAGATGATCTGGTTTGAAGAGTGGGTAGTAATGGAATCTTCACATAACTGTGGAACCTGGAATAGACTCGAATGCCAGGATTATTGTTCCCTGTGCTTTTGATGGGAACTAGTCAAATATTTACCTGGGCCCAAATGTGTCATTAAGCTGCCTTTTCCTTCACCGTGCAGCAGAATGTGCCTTGCTGACTGATTAATGCCCCAGAAAAAAATAAGAACGGGAAAGGATGTGAAAATGTGTATCTCATATTAACAGATAAACTTATCTATAAATTAAGAACCAAACTGCCTTTAATCAGTAACTAGTATACTATGTATCTGCAAGTGAAGTACATCTTGTCTTTTTAAGTAAAGAAAAACGTATTTGCTACATGAGCTTAGTAATTGAAATAGGGATAACTAATTTGTACCCTCAACTGTATTAGATTTGGAAATGGTTATATTGGGATGTGTCCAAATTCTTTACATTTTAAAAATGTGTTTCAGACCAAGCTGTTTCACTTTCTAAACCACATGATCCTGGTGGTTTTGAGTTTCAAGTCATAAAGATTTCATTGATCATTGAATAGGTGGCAGTTGACTTTGGAAAGAGTCAATAAATATAAATTGGAGGGGGTAAAACAGATTACAATGTATGTCTGGGCATTTTTGCTGTTTTCCTTTAAAAAAGGACTTATTTATTTATTGTATATACAATGTTCTGTCTGCCTGTGTGCCTGAAGATAGTTTTGAGCCACCATGTGGTTGTTGGGAATTGAACTCAGAACCTCTGAAAGGAACATCCAGTGCTCTTAACCTTTGAGCCCTATCTCCAGCCTGCTGCTTTCCTTTTTTAAAGATAAAAAAACCCTCTAATATAAAAAGTCCATAGCTTTGTAACAGTATTCACTTTAAGAATTCTTAAAATATTTTTAGATGTGGTCTTGCCCTTTAGTCCAGGATGGCTATGAACTTGCATTCCCCTCGCCCCAGCCTCCTGGGTGCTAGGATTGCAAGCGGTGTACCACCATGTTCGTTTCTAAGAACATGCATTTTTGTTAAGAAGAAATTTATATTTTAAAAGGAGCAGATTTTCCGTATGTCTCTCTTCCCCCTTTTTACACGAGATGAATGAAATTGACCATATGAAGGACAGATAATCCCCCTCTTAAACTTCATAAATAGGCTAACCGTAGGAGTCAGATTTTCAGTTATTTGCACTGGAATTTTCAAAACTTGACCCTTTTAGCATTACTTTACATAGAATGCAGTTCCAGCGCTGGTAGCCTTCAGGGACTATCAGATGACAGAACACCCTATAGAAGGGATTGTGTAAACGGCTGCATAAAAGAGACCTAAATTACAGTGGATTTTTTCTCTCTCTCTCAACGTTGTGATGATGAGTGATGGGAGCTGGAGAGGCGGCCAAGTCCTCAGTTGACTGCCAGGATTATTTTTGTGTTCCGCCTCTCCTGTGGGAGTTGAATTCCTCTGCTTGGTGGGAGCCTGATTTTGGGTAGCCCCTCATGCCAATGCACAGTAAAAGGAAAGGTAAACCACAAGCTTTCAGCATGCAGCTGTCTTCACATCCTGCTCAAGAGTCTGTGGAGCTCCACAGGGTAGCAAATACTTGTAATTGCAACCTAGGAGGCTGAGGCAGGAGGATTGAGAGCTTGAGGCCAGCTGCATAGTACAGTCCTTGTCAAAGATAGAACAAAAATGCATTCATTGAAGACCCGCTGGATGCCAGGCAGCAGAGTGAAATAGAGGTGCCTATAAAGAGAGACATACTATTACCAGACATCCAGAAACACGCTGTATCCTGAACCTGCGTATTTTAAAATCAGCTCTTCCCAGTAGCGCCATTGAGGCCAGACTTTACTTTTTGCAAACTGTCACTGAGTGCATTCAGAGTCTTCCTAGATTCATCTTCATTTTATAATAAGGCAAAACAAAAGCCTGATATACTCATTGGGGTCAAAATGCAGAGGAATTTAAGGCTTTTAAGTATGAATGGAAGCTGGTTTTCTCACCCTCAGGACTGTTGGTATTTGGGCCTAGATTCCTCTGTAGGGAGGAGAGAGTATCCAGTATCCTACCAGGTGGTCAGCAGCCTCCCACATTGACCTCCCTCCCTCCAACTCATCCTTGTCAACAGCAAATCTAGCTGTGATGACCATGGAAGGTTTCTTTTTTTTTAAATTAATTTTTATTTAATCTAAAAACAACCTTATTTTACATACCAATATGAGTTCCCTCTCCCTCCAACCCTTCCATTCCCCCCACCAACCTCCATCCCAGCCTCCATCCACTCCCCAAGGAGGGTGAGGCCTCCCATGGAGAAACATCAAAATCTGTCATATCATTTGGGGCAGG